TCTATCTATCTATCTATCTATCTATCTATCTATCTATCTATCTATCTGGTCACCAGGAGTCAAAAACAACTGATGGCACGTAATTAATCAATCGTGCCCAAATTGCAATCATGTGACCAGAGGGATGCTGTGACAACCAGAACATCAAGGACCAGTCATAAGTCCCACTTGTTCAGCGCTGTGGTAACTTCGAACAGTCGCTGAATGAGTGGTTGTTAAGCAAGGACTACCTGCATGCATATTCAGCTATCATATAATGATCATATCACTACACAGATTTCATTTTCACTGCTCAGAGCAAGCTCTGTATCTGCCCAAAATGACATTCAAGTCAGAAGCATCGTAAATTTACTCTATAGTTGATGTAACATGAAAAACCATTCAGAGGCATGGAGTGGAAAGCAAGGTGAATGAGGGATTGTTTGGATCTTTCTGGAAAAAACAAGTTCAATCAATTTTAATTCATTTTGCCTGAATTTCTGTCCATTGCTATAAATAGAAGATTTGCCAAAGAAAGTCACATACTGAAACTATACCAAAAAAAAAAGAAGTAACTGTAGATTGCATTACACCCAATAACAAATTACTACAGGACTTGGGGACCCAATTAGACTTCATGTATTTATAATCGAAAGTTCAAGCTCATACAATTTTGCTCTAAATTGATTCTTGGCTGTATCCTACCTTAATGTCACATCCAAAATAAATTTTATTTTATGCAAACAAGATAACTGTCATTTGTAAGTTTCCGAAACATATTCATAACATTGCCTCTATTTCTAGTGCTTAGGTTGCCATGACAGCACCATCTACGTACAAGAGAGCTATTAGCAGACACAGGAAAATCCACAATTTAGCTAAGTAGAAAAAAACGCGAAGACAACTCAGCATGCAGATAATACACACAGACTACTAGCTCACTGTGGTGGCAGACTAGAATGGTGAACACAGCAATATTATATTTTCTTTTTTTATAAATTTACTATAAAACCAGCAACCTAGAAAAGATCACAGTTACTTAATTATTAGTCAGGCACTAAACTATGAATACTCAACACTTTTCTCCACACTAAGGGGACCTTGAAACTTTACTTTTATCAAAATAAACTGAGATCTGTTAAACTGTTATTTTTACTATTAGCTGACTGAATAGTAACTTCAGAAGTGAACAACACTGGTAAGTAAATGAAGCTTGGATGAATGCCTATACAGTATTGCTGTGGATGACATTTCAAATGTTAAGAGTCTTTTAAGTTGAAGCATACCATTCTTGAAATAAAAACTTGTCATGTCATGAAATCCTCAGCATGTTACATGATAGTTGTCCATACAACTATACAAGTGTTGGCCTTATGCTCTACAAGGACATCTAATAGACTAACCAAATTGATTGTGGAGTCATTATTATATGGAAGAACTGAATGAACCATTTCTGTCAAATCTTTATAACTGTAAGCAGTCTCGCTTAGAGTGTGCCACAATAAAGGATTTATCATTCTCCTTGTTGAGGTCTCTAGCAGAAAATTTTCAACATTCAAAGGAAATTATAATTTCAATCATACTTTGGGGAAGCTATTGTAGTTAACCTAGGGTACAACTGCTATACTTTTGTAGTACACATATGCCCTAAGAGCAGCACATTGGGGGAAAAAATCAAGAGACATAAAAAAAAAGTCTCATAGCTATATTTGTGATGTTATTAATATTATGTTAATATTACCTAAATCATATTACTGCCTATATGCAGAACTATAAAGCACTTACTTGAAAATAGTCATGCATTATTCAGAATTTTTCACAACTGGCTTTC